CGAATTTTTTTTGGGAATTTTCCCCCCCCCCCCCCGGGATTTGTAATGGTCTACCCCTTAGTTGCAAATTTCTCCTGCGACATTTTGATTGGATACCAAAAAAAACTTGTGGGTGGAAAGCGATCGGATTAAGGTTTGTGTCAGGCTATATTTCTAAAATAGAGCTTGATCTCACATATTTGTAGACTTTGGTTACATCAACAGAACGTCGTGACATATTTCATATCTTTCTCAATATTTAAATCATTCTAAAAGTAAATGAGCAGGGGAGCCACCCGACGGTAAAATTACGTAATCAAAGACTGTTCAGGTTGCAGACATGTCAAACTAATAGGTTCCGATCAAAGACACTTTCATAAATACTTCTGTGCTAGATTGCAATTTACAGTTAGGAACATTTAGGAACATACACTCGATTTTTTATAGTATATATTATATTATATACGTCTGTAGTTTTATTAATCATAGACATATAGTATTCCACTCATTTTTTGCAAACTCTCAACTATCATGCAACGATGTAACTCTTATTCTCGATTGACCGGGGCACGAGAGTTGAGAAAACTCTCATGCAAACTCTCGCTTCTCAACTCTCATCCTTGTTTAAGGCGGAATAATACGAGCAATAAATTATTGCAACTTGCAACAAAAAGTAATTTCGATGCATGTTAATTAAAAATGTCCACAGATAAGAAACGAAACATCAGATAACATTCCTAAGCGTCTCTACCTAACATACATTAAAACCGTTTTTTGTTGCAAATTGCAGCAATTTTGTTGCATATTATTCCGTCTTTATTACTAGTGCTCTACAATGCGATCAGATAAAAAATAAACTTCAATTCTTTGTATGTTTGCATGGCGATTATTAGCACTGATGAAGATCCGGGCTAACGGATCGAAAGCTTTGCAGTGATAAATTTACGTGGTGTTTCCACAAACAAAACCATTAAACTTTAATTCATTGCACACTGAGCACTTTTAATTATTGATTTTTTATTTACCATTGTGTATTTATTATAGTATTATTTGGATCCTCCTAAGAAATTGAAGGAAGCTCTGTTAGCAGCAGGTATCCCTGAAGAAGACTTCTTTACCCTTGATCATGGTGAATCAAGACTCATTATTCCAGATCCTGAAATGACATCTCGTCTGTAGCTAGGATATATAGAGATGAAATGTATATTAATGCGAATGATAGCTATAGAAATGAACACAACTTGAAATACATGTAGATTGTAGTATATTAAATATCATTTGAAAATGGTCATAAACAATTCTGGTTAAAGTTTTCCTTTGATTTTGGACTTTGTCTCTTCGAGGCTTGGCCATGCAATTTTTAATTAGTGATGTACCGACATGTCATATGGAAATTTACCGATATTCCGATAACCGATATTCAAGGGCCGATACCGATATTCTATTTTACTTTGGAATTCACAAAATGCCAATTGCCAATTGGACTTTTGTAGAAATTTCATCATAACTATGACAATCATGCATTAACTGTACTTATCATACATGTATACATTGATATAACATCTAAGATATAACATAGTGGGTGAGTCGCAGTGTGTAAACGTTCAGTACCTCTAGGCTTTATAGTCACGATTCAAATCTTATAGCTAGTATAAGTTGTTATAACTAATGTGTTATTACCTGTTCTTTATCTGTATTTATATGTAACGTCGTTTTAGGGGTTAGGTGTTAATTGGGACGAGAGTCCTGTTCCTTTCCCCTGTCACGATTTGTCTAATCTGTCTTTATTTGTCTTTAATTAGTTTGTATCATGTACAAAGTGACAAATTCATTAGGCCTATATTATATTATATTATATTATATTATATTATATTATATTATATTATATTATATTATATTATAAGAATATGGCTACATATTGAATTTATATTGATACACCCGGTCACTGAGTTGTGGTACAACCAAAATATACTTTAAATTTGAAATATATTGTCATTGCTGAAGGGTTTTAATTGTGACCTTTGGTAGATGGAATTCGAGTGTAAATTTTATAGACCTTTACACATTCGAAAATTATCTACAAAACTCTCCAACAATTAGATGCCCAAAAATCCTGATATAAATTTGTTATAATACAATACCGATAATATCTGTAACAAAAATACACTACCGACATTTTGAATTTAGGGCCTATGGCTTATAACCGATACCCTTCCGATACCCGGTAACACCGATATGGTATCGGTGCATCATTTTTAATTCACTCAGGGCTCCTAATTCACCTGGCCCCTTGAGCGAGGCAGCGCTTTAAGAAATCAATCTCTTCAAATTTATAAGACAAAGATATGGTGGCCATGTCGCTCCAAATACAATAGCTGCTGGTGAGAGTAATGGCGTCAATATGACGTCCAGTTGGTTCCGCTGCCATATATATAAATATGTTAATTAAATCAATGTTAATATAACACATAACATCGAGCATAACATTCAGATCCGGTGATTGTACAGAATCCGTAATTACTGAGTGTTCAAATCGACAAATGTGTCCTGCTGCTGATAGACTCAGTATTGTATACTATAGTAAAGTAAGGGACGTTTCTCTGTTAGAAAGGCTGCTATAGTTTCTTAATAACGTGAGTATGTTACAGTATATCGTATAAAATATCTTATAGAAGCCGCACTCAATCGAGGGAGAGAGAGAGTTGACATTGACGAATTTTTACAGGGGACATTTCAAGCTCTATATTAACATAATAAATGCATGAATGAGTGTTCCAACTATGCTTTTACTTAAATAGAATACATGATAGTGTTGGGAAAGCATTAAGAACGGCTAACCAATGTCATGTGACTGCCAGTTCATCGTCGTTTGAGTTCGTCGTTGAGCATTTAAATGAGTTCCTACATAGCTAGACTTCATACAACGGGGCAAAGGGCACGTATTTAAATATATTTGTGCCCCCCACACTTGCAAAATCGTAGAGTGTGGATAAGAGATCATAAACTCATAGGCTGAATCCATTCAGCTTGATGTAGGCTGAATCCAAAGACCACTTGCCTCAAAATTCATTCAAAGTTATTCAATGTCGTCTGTAGGCTTGTCCTGTTTTATATATATGTCAAATTTAATTCAGACGAATTTAAGTTGTTATTATAGTCGTCGATTGACCGGTCGAGTTTAAAATGGTTTCGTTTCAAACGACGAATTTAACTCCGACAAATTCATCTCAAGTCATGATTAGCGATCAGCGATGCAGAATTACACAGAAATAGAAACCACAACACGGGATCAGAAAGACAGAAAAAAACGTTAACATAATTTATGCATTTAATTCGATACGACGTCGTATGAAACGAAGACGCACTATGACGAATAGGACGTCTTGGACGAGTTTCATTTACCAGATGAATTTAATTCGTTATACGACGCACTAACGTCGCATTTACTTCGTTCAATCAAATTCGTCTGAATTAAATTCGACGTAGCGCGACGTATGAAACGCGAGTATTTGTAGTAGCGCGACGTATGAAACAGGCGTTATATACTTCTTAGCTAGTTTCCACTCAGGAAAATTATCCGTGGATTGGACGGTCAAGAAAATTTTTCTTTGTCTTGTGAGCTCTGGGTTGGAACTAATGACTTTAACACAAAGAAAAATTTTCTTGTCCGTGAATCCACGGATAATTTTCCTGAGTGGAACTAGCCTTAAAGGCCCATTTCCGCTCAAGAAAATTTTCTACGGACAGAAAATTTTCCGAAAATATCATTGTTAAAAGTTGAAAATTTTCAACTTCAGAATTTTTTTCCGACGGAAAATTTGTGTCTGCCAATCACATTTTACAAAATTTTCTTTAAGCGGAAAATTTTCCTGAGTGGAAATGGACCTTACGGTTAAACCATTTACGGACTTTACGGACTCATTCGTGAACTATTCTATAGTGTAACTCTAGGCCAAAATTTGCGGTATATTTCTTAGTATATTACGGTATAAAAATTATATTTTTTGTATTTAGATACTGGTGAAGAGTAAAAGAAATTTTACGCGGCTATGGAGAGATTTCAGGTATATGTTTTATAAAGTAACGATGGAAATCTTTCTTTTGCAGCTTTGCTAAATGCTAACTGTATTTTGTTCATAGTTTTTGTTGTATAACAGCCACTGTATAATGTCAGTACAACGAATCAGCAATTATACGCTCTAGCATGGTATGTATGCCATTTTAGGTGAAACAAGAGAAACTCAAAGTGTTGAATGTGACGATAGTCGGAGCTTCTGGGGTTGACGGGTGCTCCAAGAAATGTATGTGGATGTATACGTTATTGTATCTGGCAACCTCTGACACACGTGTACAGCTACGACTACAACAACAGTAATGACTTCTACAACAACAACAACAAAACAGAAACAGCAATAGAAACAGCAACAGCAACGACAACAGTAGCAACTATAACAGCAACAACAGTAATAACAAAAACAGCCTGAATCACAACATGAACAACAACAGCAACAACAACAACAGCAACAACAACAACAACAACAACAACAACAACAGCAACGACAACAACAACAACAACAACAACAACAACAACAACAGAAACAACAACAATAGCAACAACAACAGCAGCAACAGCGACAACGACAACAACAACAGCAACAACAGCAGCAGCAACAACAGCAGCAACAACAACAACAACAGAAACAACAACAATAGCAACAACAGCGACAACAACAACAACAACAACAACAACAACAACAACAACAACAACG